TATATTTAAAATAGAATTATTTTTGCATAAACAAGCCCATGGTAACAATAAAGCCATCAGGAAACAAGAGCAACCGAGGTGAGATAAGGAGGGGCTGATGATGAGAAAACAGTGTTCAATGTTCAGTCTGACACAGTACTAAGTGCTGGTGAGCATGAGGAGCCTAGGCAAGTCTCAGATAACCACTTTGGATGGCAGTTCAGCATAACCGAAAAAGCTGAACTCATGCATCCTCCATAATCATGCAATTCCACTCCCAGCAGATAGGCCACTGGGGGCGTATGTGCTCCAAGCGTTGTATCAGTAATGTTCACAGCAGCATTACTTGGGATAGCCAAAACTGGCAATTACTCAAATTGCAACAGCAAAATGTGCAGTATAATAAAATCTTATACAACTTAAATAGACAAACTACAGTTACACAGAACAACAAACAGCAGTCCCCCCTCATCTACAGGGGATACACTCCAAGACCCTCAGTAGGTGCCTGAAACTGCAGATAGTACTGAACCCCATATATACTATGATTTTTTCCATCTGATAAAGGAGAAGGCTGCTAAGCGACTAACAGGTGGATAATGTATACAGCAAGGATAAGCTCAACAAAGCAATGATTCATGTCCTGGACAAGACAGGGCAGGACAGCATGAGATTCCATCATGCTACACAGAACAGTGAGCAATTTAAAACTCACGAATTGCTTATTTCTGGAGTTTTCCATTTACTATTTTCAGACCACAGCTGACTACGGGTAACTGAAACCACAGATAAGGAGGCACTACTATATCTAAATGTCAAAAACATAATGTTGAGCCAAATTAGCCACACACTAAAGAATACATGCTATATGGTTCCATGTACATGAAATTCAAAAACAGACAAAAGTAACCTAGTGATGGATGTCAGGACAGTGGACCTTTGGGAAGGAAACAGGGGTCATTATTGGGGAGGCTCACAGAAGGGAGGGGGGAGTTTGAGGTGTGAAGTGCTAGTAATTAATGTTCTGTTTCTTGAACAGGATGACAGTTACACGAGTGTTCATTTTCTCATAACTCACTAAGCTTTTCACTTATGGCTTGTGTATTTTTCTGTATGTGTTATATTTCACAATAAATAAAAAATAAAACATTATTTGACCAAAACTCCCTAGCTTTCTTTCTCATGTTTACTTTTTACCCTAAAACTCCACTGACAAAAGAGTTTGCAAGTCTTATAGAAAGAAAATATACTTTAAGTGGTCCTAGAGAGCTTCAAAATTACCTCCATCCTCAAGTTGCATCCTTCCCTCCCATGTGTTACCTTTCATCACTGTTACAACTCAAACAGAGCCCCTCATCCCAAAGCGAATCCATCCTGTTCTTATTTCCTACCTCGCAGAGACCTTGCCCTCTCAACTGCCTCCCTGCTTTCTAACTCTTTTTAGTCTTTCCCTCGCTACCAGCCCCTTCCCATCAGGATTTTGCTGTTGCTTTTCATTCTCATAATGGTATCCTTTTCTATGTTGAAACCATTGCAAACTTGTAATAAAGTTGCAACAGTAATACAAAGAACTCCTATATGACCATCACCCAGAGACCCCCCCATTCAAGTTTTCATCAGTTGCCCCAATAACATTATGACAAAAAAAATCACTGCACTGCACCCAGTTTGTACATAGTCTCTTCCAATGTGGAACAGTTCCTCAATCTTTCCTTGACATTTTTGAAGATTATAGTAGATTGAAGACTGAAGATCGAAGGCCCTTGTGTCTTTTCAATGTGTCACATTATTATTGAGTACCTCCTTACTTCCTGACAGTAAGATATTCCAGGCTCCAGCTCGAGAATCAGTCATTTCTCTAAAGAGCCCTGATTGCTTTTAGCACAGAGTGGTATTCTAGATCAAGATATGGGTCCTAAATCCATTCACTGCTACTAGAGAGCCACTCTTCCCAGGCGCTCTGAGAAAGGATTAGGAAATATGTGAAAAGAGCTAGGAAATATGAGTGTGTGTGTGTGTGTGTGTGTGTCTACCCACACATACACATGCATTTACATGGACATTTCTTTCTCTGTCTACACATACTGAAAATCATGACTTCATACTATTAGCTCCAATTCGAATCCATTGTAGCTTTCCCCCTTTCTACGTTGATACCACCTTTCTCCATTCATGAGAAGGCTGGCTTCCACCACTTCAATATATTTACTTATTTGTTCAGTTGCCTATGTGTAGCCAATCTGATCCCAACTGGCCACCATCACCAACTGGTTTAGGCATAGTTTCCAATCAGATATTTTCAGAAAAGTTGCCTATATTCACCGTCTTTACTTCCTTGAGTCATTCCTCAACCCACTACAATTTGATTTCCGTGCTGATCAAGGTGACCAGTAATCTCCTTGCCACCAAATCTAAAGGATCTTTCTCAATTCTTTTCTAACTTGAGCTCCCTTGCAGCATTCAAGACTCTGAACATTCTTTGCTTCTTAAAACACTCTTTCCCTCTGGTTTCTGTGACTCCCCACTCAAATTGGTTTTCCCTCCACCTTGTCAACCATTCCTTCTTAGATTCTTCTACAGGCTTCTCCCCAAACCCCAACTTTACTTATTATGACTGACTGGGGTTCTGTCCTAGCTCTTTTCTCTGTGCCATCCCTGAGGTATTTCATCCACTACCATGGCTACAATTATCTACATTCTGCTGACTTACACATCTATATCCTTAACCCAGATGCAATCCCTAAGCTTAAGACCTATCTAATGAAACACCCACCAAATATTATTCCTTGGGTGTCTCTCAGTCACTCCACACAAAACACATCTAACACTGAAATAATTTCCACCCAACCCCTTCCCCCAAACCTTCTCTTCTTTCTGAGTAATGTAACTCAATGAACAGAGTTGCCATCTGTTCAGCAGCCCAAACCAGCAACTGAGGAACCATTCTTAACCCCTTTTTTCCCACCCCCACATCATCAGTGCTTGTTCCTTCATGTGGCTCATTAGGCCCTGCAGGACCTTGTCCTAGCTACTTTTACAACACCATCTCGTTCTTCAACTTCAAACTCAACCTCAGCTGCATTGAAATTTCTTTCACTTGCACAAACATGCAACATCCTTTCTAGTCCTTGGGCCCTCACATTCTTCTCCCTCTGCCTCTTTGCTACATTACTTGGCCAAATTCTACTTATCCCTCAGGACACAGGCTCTGGGAATCTTCCCAGAATGCCCCTGCTCTGTACTTCAATGGCACTCTCTACATCTCTAGAGTGCTAATTTATTCCAATGGCTCATTTAATGATTTTAACTTCCCAATCAGATTATTAGCTCTACTAAGGTCTCAAAGAGAAACAGACGCAGTGTCTTAGTCACAGCTCTATCACCAGGACCTAGCAAAATAGCCAAAACACAGTAGGTGTGCCCTAAGTATGTACTGAATGAATCAGCCTCAAAAATAGCAAATCTACAGCAGCCACAGCCAAAGAGCACATTTCACACACATGCATTAACTCAAGCGGTGGGGCAGTTACATCCTCCTTCACTCCTGTTACTGCTTGATTCAAAGGTTGGCATCTTTATGTGTAATGAACAATAATATAATCATATTAGCCTGAAAGAAAGAATTATTTCCTTTAGAAAAAGACAGAAGTTCCTCTTCGTTCTCTGTAGTAAGTTGGAATGACTCATTATTTTTTACATTTTCATGAAAACAACACACAACAGACTCACTGTGTGAGACAGCACACATCCTCTCAGCCAAGAGGGTTACAATAAGAGTGAATGCTTTGGCCCTTAAGATGGGTCCAGGATGTTCTCCCTGTACATAACTCCGCACATGCGCGCGCACGCACACACACACACACACACAGACACACACACACATTCAGTGTCTCAGAAAATACACAGCATGACTGAACAAAAGAAAAATAGAAAATGCACTCCTGAAGGACATATCTCCACCCTTAGCATGTTGTCTGGCCCACAGGAGAGGCAACACCAAATATGAGAGGTGACACCAGCCAACTGTAAACACCGAAGCTGGTGTCCGGGAGAGGAGGAGATCTTTGAAGAGGGTTAATACTGTCTCTACTAACTACATGCCATGACTCTCATAAGCCATATCCAAGCCATCTCGTTTTTATTGTCCTGATTTTACATATTTTGAGATTAAGTAAGTAGCCTATAGCTAATACATAACAAAGTGCAGTTCTTTCCAATTCCTAGTGCTATATCCTAAAATGGGTAAAACTGAAAAATCAGAAAACACCAGTAGAAGCATCTATTTAGAAAAATGAAGAAGAATGTCAGAGGAAATAAATAAAAGTTAAAAATTATTGGTTCTGAGGAGTAAGAAGTAGGAATAGGAAGTGTTGGGCAAGGGATCTTATTCTTCATATAAACTTTCTAGTAATATTTGAGTTTTGAAATTACATATGTATTATTTTGATATAAGGTACAATTTTAAATCATAGCAGGAGACTCCTTATTGACAAAATAATATCTAAAGTATGATCCATTTAGAAATATAAGGCCGGGCACAGTGGCTCATGCCTGTAATCCCAGCACTCTGGGAGGCCAAGGAGGTGCATCACTTGATATCAGGAGTTCGAGACCAGCCTGGTCAACATGGTGATACCCTATCTCTACTAAAAATACAAAAGTTAGCTGGGTGTGGTGGCACCTGCCTGTAATCCCAGCTACTCGGGAGGCTGAGGCAGCATAATTGCTTGAACCTGGGAGGTGGAGGTTGCAGTGAGCCAAGATTGTGCCATTGCACTCCAGCCTGGGGGAAAGAGCGAGACTCTGTCTCAAAAAAAAATTTTTTTGAAAAGAAAAAAAAAATATATATATATGTATATATACACACAGAGAGAAGCTTTTGAATGCTGTTACTAGAAATTGTCTCTGACGGGTGGGGACATAAGAGTTTTGATAGTTTCTTCTTTTCCCATGAAGCTCTGTATTACTATTTCTAAAAGAAATATAATTATTTCACAAAATATTTTAAATTAGTTACTTACCTTAGCTGATTTTTCGATATTTAAGCCTCCATCCAGTACAAAAAGAATAGTCATGTTGTACCCAGTCTGGTTTCCATGTCCATGAGGCCACCAAGTTTCTACAGTAATATTCTTTTAAGAAAATTAGTCACTCTAATATGTCATATTTTCAGCAAAAAAGATTCAAAGCATCACATCGATTTCTCATATAGTCAAGTACAAAACTCGAGGTTCTAAAACAATGTAAATCTCCCTACTTATATTATGCCAAATCACACCAATTCATTGATAATATTTAAAAATCAGCATGTTAGGAATGTAGCATGTATCAATACATCAAAAGCAAAAGGAAAGAACAAAATAACATGAGTGTTCAGAAAAAAACTCTTCCTGTCTCTAACACCAAACTTACATTTATTCTACGTTCTTAACACTTAGAATGGGACTTTGAAGTTGACTCTTCTTTCAAGTCAAAAACTAAAAATCATTTTGAGTTCTTACTTTATCTCAACAGCTACTGAATGTTATTTTGCTCCATCTTTTTCAGTACACAATTATTAATTAGAGGAATAGAAAAAGGAAAAAGAAAAGATAAAAATAATCCATTCTATCTTGACGTATGAAAGATCATGAGTTTAGAATTAAAATTATGCAAGTAAAATATAAGTATCAATAATTAAAATAATTGACAAGTACCAAAAATAATCACTGCTATTTAAATATAATCCATAGAATGTATTTTGGCTTCAGGATACTACAAATACTACAGAAAATTAAAATATAATGATAAAAATAAAATGAGAGGAAGAATTGCCAAATTAATGATATATTCTCTATTTTCTTAATCTTAAAATTTGGGAAAATCATTCTTTAGCTCATCCAGAAAACATATGAGAGAATAAAAATAGAGAAGAAAACGACAAATATAAGCAGAGAAAGTAGATTTTTCTTTCATACTTAGTCCCTCCTTTCTAATCTTTTCTTTAGCACAGGTATTGCTTTTCATCCATTGCTTCTCAGGAAGTACCATCATTTACCTTGCTAATGTTCAAAAATAGCTCAACAATCCTTTTCCCAGGTTGAAGTTCAAGGTTGTACATCTGTTGTGTTTGCAACTTAGGGATGGCTACGATCACTTGACCACCAACTGGCTTTGAGCTGACAACATCAAATGTAGCCTCTATTTCCAGATTCCACGCCTGGGCACTCTTATCTAAAATATAAAAAGGAAAAGAAAAAAATATATAAAATGCTAAGCATTATCACTGCACTTCTCAGGATTCATTGAAGGTAAGACTAAAGCAGCTTCAAACCCAGTAAGTGCTCCACAATGCTGTCGTAATGAAAACTTTGTGGAAATTTTCTTTTAATCTTCAGTTTAATCCTTCATTCTGAAGAAGAATAACAAAAATGATATATTTTATATAGACTTCCACTCTAAAAATGTTATGATTGTAAGTCATAAAAACTTTATGGAGCATAAACAGAAAATAACAAATGGAAAGATAAAATAAATTTTCCAAGAATGATATACATTTGTTCCTTTTTATAAAGTAAAAATACTTTAGAAAGTTAAGTGAAAAGTAACAGTATTTTTACTTTATAATTTAAATGGGTTTTAAAATTATGTAATGCATAAATTTATATGTATTAAAATTAATCAAATGTGAAAAAATAAAGTTATACTTGAAATGTAGATAATTTATACAAAAAATATTTCCTGAGGACTTTGTATGTGCCACGTACTCCACTAAATGATGGGAATTAAATGGTGACCAGGATAAAAATGGCCCCTACTCTCATGAACTAAGAGTCTATAGACAAATTCAAAAGTGTAATAATCAGGACAGGAGAAATAAAAGGCTGTCCTGAGAAATAAAAACAGGACGTCAGAAAGCACATCTAATACACAGAGGGTGAAGGAAGGCTTTTTCTCTTTTTTTTTTTTTTTTTTGGACACAGGGTCTCACTCTGTTGCCCCAGCAGTGGCACGATCATAGTTCACTGCAGCTTTGAACTCCTCAAGCAATCCTCCTGCCTCAGCCTTCTGAGCAGCTGGCACTACAGGCATGTGCCAACCCACCTAGCTAATTTTTTTTTTTTTTTTTTTTACTTTTTGTAAAGATGAGGTCTCACTTTGTTGTCCAGGTTAGTCTTAAACTCTTGGCCTCAAGCAATCCTCCAGCCTCCACCTCCCAAAGCACTGAGATTATACACATGAGCCACCATGCCTGGCCAAGGAACGCTTTCAATGGAAAGTGGTATCTAGCTGAGACCAGAAGGATGCCTCAGCTAAGTACAGAGGAAGCTGATAAGGATTCTAGGCATACAGAAGCATGTGAAGGCCCATGAGTGAGAGAGAGGAATGCCATAACAAGGAAACTTGGGCAATAACAAAATTGATGAGAGGGGTCAGCATAATTGAAAAGTTGAGCAGTGTCCAAAGGACAAACAGGTGAGGAGTTTGGCAATTTCACCCCAGATCAATGTAGAGTCATTGAAGATTTTTCATCAAAGAGCGTGATCAGATTTGCATTTTATAAGAATTGCTAAGGGTCCCAGCACAGTGATATATCAGGATGAATATGAAAGAAGCAGAAAGATAAAATCTCTCTGTGTACAAAAAGCCTCAGAAAATGCCACTTGGAAAAGCCAGGAACAGAGAGGAGGCAGAGTGTTGATCAGAAAGAAGAGAAAACAAGATCGAAGAGGAGAGCTATATGGAAAGAAGAAAGATGAGGGATGAACTTTGGGTGTGGAGTTTGGGGTTGTCAGAATGCTTCAAAACGATTTTGAAGTAGAGTTTTATATATGTGCAGTATGACTCTGTCCTCTATTTCCTGTTAAATTTACATTGTTTATCTAATGTCTCTGGAATTGGATTTGTGTTTAGTTTTTATTTTTAAACAAGATAGAGCAATGGGACAGACTTGGGACAAGAGCTGGGTGGAAAAAGAGACCCTTTTTAAAGTTATGCAGAAGAAACTGTTGACGAAATCTCAAAAAAGCTTGGAGGTACGGGGGTTAAAGTCAGCAAAAAAGGTTCTCATTCTTTGCTGCCACAGAAAAAAAGGAGAAGAGCAGTGACTGTGCAGAGGCACTTAAGTTTCTACGATTCGTGGCAAAATATGGAGGGAGTTCCTATTTAGTGGCTTCCATTTTTCTCCAAAGGAAAGGAGGGAGAAGGCTACTATCTGAGAAATACCTTAGAGACCCGTCTCCTACGAATAAAGAGATTAGTAATCGTGGCTTTGCTGCAAAAGAAAAAAAAGCTAGGTTTGTATGCTGATCAATGACAAAAGACTTTATAACTGGCACTGTTTACAACTGTAGGACCACACCAGGCCTGTTCTAAAGATGACCCCAGCACAGTTTATCATTTGCATGTCCCATCAGCCAAAAGCATAGATTTGATGCACATCGAAGTAAAATTAATCCTGGACTTAAGAACTATTTTTGTTTATTAAATGATTTATTCTGAGAAACACTAGTCAATGAGCCCTGAATTAGGTTTGTTCTGATCCAGTTAATTTTGCAGGTTACTTACCGATAGCCTCCAGGTTTTGAATCTGTCAGCTGGCAGATCAGCTAGTCTACTGGCTCATCGGTGTTTAATTTCCTCTATTGAATAGGTTATCAAACTATGGTCTTTGGGACAAATCTAGCCCACCTCTTGTTTTTATAAATAAAATTTATAAATAAAATTGGAACACAGATGCTGTGGACTAAATGGGGACTCCTCCTCTAAAATGCATATGTTGAAGCCCTAACCTCCAGCTTTTTATGAAGTAATAAGGGTGGGGCAGTAATCTGTTAGGATTGCAGCCTTATAAGAAGAGGAAGAAATAGATATCCGTCTCTCTCTTTACTATGTGAGGACATAGCAAGAAGGCATCTGTCTGCAAGCCAGGAGGGGATCCCTCACTGGAAACCAAACTGGCCAGCACCTTTATTTCGGACTTCCCAGCTGCCAGAACTGTGAGAAATAAACTTCTGTTATTTAAGTCACTCTGCCTATGGTATTTTCTTAGGGCAGCCACAGCAGACTAATATAACAGTCATGCTCATTTGTTTACTTATTGTCTTTGGTTGCCTTTGCAATACAACAATAGAGTTGAGTAGTTGTGACAGATGCCTAAACTGTTTTACTGTATGATCCTCAACACAAAAAGTTTGCTAATCCCTGCCCTAGAATATTCCCCCCCAAAAGGCCATTCTAACCTTTCTTTAAATATCTCTAGTGACAAAAAACCTCTGTCTCACAAAATAGCCTTCCCATTTGTGCTAGGCTTGGCTATTGTAAAGACTCCCTTTACACTGAATTTGAAATATACTTCTCCTTAATATTCACCTAAAGATTTTAGTTATGTCCTTTCAGCACCTCCTACCAACCAAGCAGCCTCCTGTGTTGTTTTCTGCTACTTCTTCTTTGGCAGGAGAATCAGCTGTTAGTGACAGCCTCTGACAGGAAAACAAACAATGCAGTCCTCAAAGGTCATTGGCAAAATTCCCCAGTTTCTCTTGCTTTGAACTTGGAAGGTTCTCAAGCAAGTCTGCACTCCTCCAAAGCATAACCCGTTAACACTCCTAAGCACTACTAAATGAACAAACTAAGGTTGTAGAATTAAAAACACAGTATGAAGATCTACGAGCCTACAAAGTTATCACCAGATATACTTAAGAATATATTTTTCCCCTCTCCTCTTCTTTCAAATAGAGTAAACCCCTTCCTTCCAGCAGCACATGGAAAATAGGTAATTTAGGTTCACAAGGGGCAAAGTCTTAAATAACCAGTAGTTTTCCTGATGTTCTTTGGTTACTCCCTTTCACTTGCTAAATTAAATTTATAAATTGCATAATCCTATTTGAAGGTAAGAAGAACTGCATCTTATAAATTAAGCCCCATTTCTAGAATACAGCTCCCTATTATCTCTCTCCTGGCATTACTAAGTCACCATTTCCTGAAGAACACCTATCATCACCAGCTCTCCTGAAGTGAAATGCAAGATCATTTCAAAAATGGATGCAGTACTGGGGGTGAGGGCAGGAAAGAAGGATTGCTATATCTTCTAGAACCCCCTACAGAGCTCATCCTTCCAATCACACCACCAAGTTCCGCATCCTCTCTTCACTTTGACTAAACAACTCTGGGCACAAAGAGGACAGGAATTCTTTATCAAAACAGGTGGAAAGGCAATGCTGGCCTGCCCTCTCCACAATTTGAGGTCTTGAGGCCCTCCCAGGCCTGAGGGCTTATTGGTATTCTCGCTGATGTCCTATGCCCAAGCAGAAGAGATTGAGTTCTATAGTTTGTTCATATAATCTCAATCAGGAAGGCAACCCAGAGGATGGCAGAGAATGTGGTTTTGACCACTGATTCACTTTAAGGCTTTGCCAGAGATGACTCAGTGAGGGTTCTTTAAAAAAAGAAAAAACAAAGAGCACAACATGTCTGACCTGGATGGGAATTTGTAGAAAGGGTAAGTAGCTACATAGCCTAGATTAATGTATGCTGCTCCTTCATTCAGAGTATCACAAGACAACTGTAGCTCACGTAGATGTGTCCAGTACATCAGCCTTCAAAATCCTCTCAAATATGCCAGCTTCCTCTTATATTCTCATACAGTCTACTCCTTTGCTAAGATGTAGTTGGGGGGAAGAAAGGTCAAAAAAAAAAAGCTTTATTCAATTGTCTAGGAGAAAAAGGTATAAGGAGAGACACAGAAAGTAGAAAAATAAGAGGACTCAGTTACATTACTTCAAGTGTGTCAAAAAGTAACAGGAAGACATACTCCCAAACTATACACTAAGCCTTGCTTTAATTGATTGTAATAAAGACTCAAGTATCAATGTTTTCATCCAGTCATGTAATGTCTAGTTTCAAGAAAAACTGAGTTGTTCCACACTTATACCCTCACTAGTTGGTAATGACTATCCTAATTTACAAACAAAGGAAAAGAACCACAAAATGTTCGAGGTAGAAGAAACTTGGAGATGTTCTCGTCACTTTGCAGGTGTTTCTGAGGCCCTGACTGCAGAATTTCCCTCCTGAGCCAATGGACAGGCCAAGGGTCCAGGTTTCCTAACTCTGGTGCTCTCGATTTTCCATGAGCCTCTCGCAGTGATGCCTACCAAAAGGAATGACACTCGCAGGTACACAATGATTGACATTTGTATATGAATAATGAGGAAAAGCAAAAGCAAAGGTACTTT